TGCCTATAACAGCCAATAGCAGCTAACCTGAGTCTAATCATGTTAGAGCCTGACTTAAAACCAGAATCAGATTAAGCAAGCATCTGTGAAATGTACTGCAGAAAGATGGAAGTGGGGTAAGTGGGTGGTGTTGGTAATTGAGGGGGTTTTATGATGTCATGTATGAATTCCATCAAGAGCTAGCACCATGGACAGCTGGCACTGAGCCCCTGTTTGTAGGCACCGCCGCCAAGGGCTCCTGGAGCTGGCAGTAGACAGCCACTATAGCAGCACTGCATTGTGGGAGGCGTCGTCCTTTCTGGGTGCTTCAACAGCATCCCCTCAGAATGCTGAGCAGAGCATCACTACAGCACTGCAGCAGAACTGCAGCACTCAAATGCCTGTTATTGGCTGAACACGGAGGGAAGAGTTTTTTTGGGGGAAAAAAAAGGAATCGTCCAGCAGTTACAAAACAGGTTGCTAAGACGTCACTATTGCGCAGCTTTCCAAAAAGAACACGCATTTCAGTTCTTCGTGGGCTGTTGCTAGGCTATTAAAAGCCTCTATAGGAACAGTGCAGGGGAAAAAAGGCACTGGAGCTGGGTGGGATGGCAACGACTGCAGTAACTTTCACACTCAGGCAACGCTGCAAAGAATGGAATATTACAGGAAGTGTGCTGGCTTTGGAGAAAGCACAAAAATAGTGTTCTCTGCCTTCAGCTGCTTTAATCATACTGCATCATTCCTCTGGTTCCAGGACAGTGGATCTCATACTCTCTGCAGCTCAGAGTGCAGAACGCAGAGCAGTTATGGGGGGAAAAACAGTTAAATTAAATTTTGCTGTATCTGCAGGTAGCAGTTAAAGATGCTCTTAACCTGTGCCCTGTACTGTGCATTAACCCATACTGTATGTATAAATTACTACGTTAAAGCTGATTTTAATAGATGAAGACGAACCTTTGACCTACAAAATGAATCCATCCACCTCGAAGACAGAAAGAAGACCAATGGATCTCCTGTCACTGCTAAAATTGTTAATCAGTTTGAGACGCATTAAAACACCAGCAACTGTCGAGCTCTTGAAATAATTCTCAAGAAGGTTATCACAGAAAGATGGACATTCAAGTACATTACCTGCTATCCTAAGATGTGCCAGAAAATTTCATGCCTACTTCTAGACTTGATCATTTTTTTAAATTTTCCATGAATGAGGCTAAAAAAACACCATCTTAACTCCTTAAAAACAGTACACAATATAGCATGCATAATAATTTACACCCATCTGTTCAATTGTACAAACAGGCTACTATAGATATTATCTTTCCATATTTATACATTTCTATGTTGCTTTTTTTCCTCCCCTGTGTCAATTTACTGAGATTGAAATATACACACTATGTGTATATTTTAATTTACATATAAAACAGGTAAGTGGCAGGTTAAAGAATGGAGTAAAACTACAACAGCACAAAAAAGAAAGACACAGTGATTTCCCTGAATCCCTGCTTGCTTATGCTTCCCAGCATGGGCACTTCAAAGGTTTTCTTTTCTACAAGCACTTCTAAAGTTAAACCCTGGGAGTACTACAGGAGCTATCAGTTTCCACACCCTGTGTTTTTTACCTAATAAAGAAGGAATTAAGGTAGATTACAAGGCAGAATATTGGCTCGAGAAACAGTCCTTAAATATGAAGTATTATGTCATTAATCTCTAACATGCACAAACAAGTTTACTCTTGACTTCACAGGCAGATCACTAGCTCAGAAAAGTAGTAGCTGAAGAAATGTTAGAGCCATATCTGCAATTTTAGACAGAATGGAGGAATCTAAAATGCCATTAAGTTAATGGCTTACAAACAACATATAGTAGATGCAATAGATATGGGTAACAATGGCCATAATGAGGGATAATTCGGAAAATTTTGAAACCTCTGAAAAATAGAGTGAAGAGGAAGGCATCATACTGTATGACCCGTTTCATATTGAGTGGTCGCCTCACATTCTACTAACTAGGGTGAGAGCCTATGGAGTGGCAGGAGAGACGTGTGACAGTTCAGCGCGTCTTGCTTCATGTGTCGTTAGCGATCGTGTGCGCTCGTACTTTTCGTAAGCATTTGTTGTTTAGAATTTATCATGGACCCTAAAGCTGTTAAGAAAATGAAAACTGTAAATGTCTCTAATTACACAAAAAGCAAAAGAAGTGCTTACTGTTTATGTTTATTAATGTCTAACTAGGTAAGCAGTTTTTTTTTTTTACTAAAACCACAAATGACAGTAGGAAAGTTAGTTATTAGTTTCTTTTGTCATTTGTTTGGTGAAAAAAAGTAAAAGTAGTGGTGACACTTTTGGGTTCCGGGACAGATCGTAATTTTCCCCATAAGAAATAAAGGAAATAGGTTTTTCCTTTTACGGAATTTCACTATACGAAAGATTCTGGTAATGAATTGCGTTCAGGTGCGGTTGTACAGGCAAAAAATTGCCTGATAAGGCACTGATAAGTCTGAAAGAGTAGTACTGTTAGCACACAGATAACTTTTTATTAATGAAGTGTGAAAGCCAAAAGATTCTGCTTGTTATTTTAGTGCTTTTTATTTATTTTTTTTTTAATTGTAAAGACTTTTTTTTGCACGTTGGAGTTGTGCAAGGGAACTTTGGCAAACAAATCATATTTGTTTACGATGAAAATCGTGTTTTTCCCCCCCACTTTACCACAAAGCAGTTGTGAACCCTGTGTAACTAAACAAACAACCTTTTAAAGCTCAACATTACTCATTTCGGAGGCCTCAAGCAAGACTTCTAAACGTCTGAGAGCAAGCTACACTACAATAAAGGGCTTTGCGGCACACAGATGGAGATAAAGCTGGTATTAACAGTGAAGGGAAAGATAGAAAGGCCAAGAAAATGTAGGGTTATGAACATGAGGTGATGTATTAAAGTTGTGTCAAAGTGGTGGTTAGACAATGCCTCAGCCTCTGTTCTCTGACATACCTATATTCACTTCAGGTCAGCTGCAAAATTGGTGATGTAGTTATACTTCACCGTGTACAAAAGTCACAAGTCATTAAGAGACTTTTTAGAACTTTTATGCTACAACTTAAGGTTATGTCCATGTTTTATAACTTAACAAGGCAATCTTAAAACCATCGGTCAAATCGGTGGCCAGCTCCTGACAGGTGAGTCGGCACCAATTGGATGAGCAGCATCTCATTCGCTGACATTACATAGGCTCCTGCAGAGTCACAAGAGTTGCTGTTTGCCAGCGTTTTGAGTTTATCTGCATCCTACATGACTCGAACACTGTCTCAACTAGGAAAGCCACTCAGCCTGGGCTCAAGAGAGTCGCAGGTCTGAGTCGGTGTCATGTCACGAGCTGACTGTGATCAAGCCAACAAGTGACTGAGCATTCGAGATGGATCATTTGAGATGGGAACAAGGGAACATTTGAGATGAGCCAGCCATGCCTTCATGGTTTCCAGTTTGCAGAATAGTGGCACATTCAGAGCTTAACCTCACATACATAGCTTGCCATGTGCTAAGATGAATGACTCAAACATTAAATTCTTCCCATTTTTGGGTCCAGGCTCCAGATTTACAAGCCAAAAGGTGAAAACGCACAACTGCCAAATTGGATGGAAATATAGGAACATTAATTAGAGAACAACATGAAAAGTTTGGATCTCTCTGCACTCCAGAGTTTATCTCTGCCTTATTTTCACCCACGGTCACATAGCAGAGCTATGGCATCACGTAGAGTCTTTGCGCTCCAGGAATCCTACCAAACGTTGAAATCTAGGAATCCTGATCACCCACAGTTTCAGAGTAGGGCCCTAGGGGCTCAGTAAATGGCGCAAATTCCCTGAAACGTTCCCTGCTCTTATTAGCTCTAAAATACAGTTATGAAAGTGGTGCTGTAATATGGCACTGCTGTGCCTGTGCATAGGAAAAAAGGAAAAGAGACACTCAGGTGAGCAATCTCAACTCCACACCCTAATTACGTGACACCTGGAGAGAGACAAAGGCATCATACACAGGGTTGTGAGTTAAAATCCTGGGTCTTAACAGAGTTCAGAGCCCTACCCACTACCCCACGCTGCTTTGGATGAAAGACAAACAAAATTTGCTTTCACGTGATGCCAGCAGAGTAGAACAGAGGTGAATCCAGGTCACCCCAGGTGACCAATTCCAATGCAACCCCCTGGCAATCTTCAGCCGATTGAGGAATTCCAGTTACACTTGGTTACAAGTTAAAGAACTTTGCTTTATTATGCTTTTATTGCACCTGGTATGGAGAATGAGAACAGGTTCTTATTTACAGAGCTGACCTGGAGACCCAGTTACACAACAAGGAATTTACTGGAGCAATCTGAGCAAAGGCGAATGCTTAGGAATACACAAACATTCATCCTGAACCCTAACCACAACACAGTGCTTTGAATGAACGACAAGATCTGCATCTGCAGTGGCTTGAATCCAAGTACCAAGAGAAGTGTAGAAGTCCTGTAGTTCATGTATCGGACCCTCTCATAATTATATGATAACCTGTGATGTCCCTTTCTTGTGCGCCTGTTAACTAATAAATGCGGGGTGTCAGTAAAATGCATGGCAGACAGCCTTATGCATATCTTGGCTCTTATGTGTCTTGTTTGATTGTATCTTGCAGAAGGAAGTCAAATGAATATAAACCTATCACACCCAAAATGCAATGCAAACCTTGCACTGGAGACGGGACAAGGCAATGTGAAGGAAACAAAATGGATTTTACACCTTAATTTGTAATTTGCCACATACTTAGGAAATGAGTCAGTCTTTAATATACATCCTCAATTGTGATAATAATAATTTATTATGAATAAGAGCACTATGGGCCATGAGTAAGCAATTCGATAGAAATTCATGTGGCATTCCAAGTACTGTTAAACTGAAACTGGGGAAGAGAACACAAAACATTTTTCCAGAACTATGAAACTGGAAAAATAACTATACATTTGGTATTTTTAAGTTTATCAATTAGCAAATACTTACTTCCCAGTGTTACATTCTCACTCGTGCAGATCAACTTTAATGTTCAAGATGCACAACAATCTGTCAAAGCCCACAGAAGATCTTCAGCTGGGTCCTAATAATTTCTTTCCAAGCAAACTAATCTGAAAAAAAATAAAAAAATATAAAATGAATTCACTTGAGGTCCAAACAATTTCTGAACACTGAAGGGAATTAGACCACCAGAGGATAGATTAAACCAGATAAAGGATATACAATAAGAGAATTACAGCATGACTCAGATTATTACAGAGGTTAAACATGACTAATATGGCTTTTTACACAACAGGACATTTCCAAATTTAGCAACAAATGAACCACGATTAGTACACCTACACAGCAGTATTACACAGTCACACAACTATCCACTATTAATGTGGGCATTTATACTACAACAATACCAATTTTATCACAAATTTGGTTGACTTTAATGGTTGTTTCCAACATGGTGCTCCTATCTCCCGTGTGACATGGCACCCCTTTAGAAAATGCTGCTGTTAACAAAATTCATTTTTTCACTTTTATACATCTTTATCGTGTGTACATTGTACATACAAGGCCCTTTGACTGGAGAGTTCTGCTAGAAGACAGTGTCTGAGACAAGACCCCGAGGCTGTCTGCTCTTGGCTGAGTCATACTTATTGAGTTTTGATACTAGACTATAAGGCTGCAGTCTTAAAGGTCAAATGGCTTACAGAGCAAACCTGATGTCTTTAATGTGATATGGGACAACACTGCAGCAGGGGAAGAGGAAGGGGATTGAAGATGGCAGTAATATGCTATTTCTCTTGTTTAATGTTAATCAATTTTACAGTCTAACCAACTTATTAGATACTGCACAAATCAGAACTTTTCCTTATTTTCTCACTTTGGGCCACAGACCAATCAAAAGGTGGAAATAAGACTAACAAAACTTCTCAAAATTACACTAAATAGCTTTACTGGACTCTGAAATAACAGACTAAAAATATCTGTGTTGGGAGGTAAGATCACCAAGGAGATGTGAAGCTCTCAGATCAGTCTAGCCCTTAAACACTGCAGAACAACTTGTTTTCCAGTGGAGCTCCTGAATGCATTGTTCTCTGAGGATTTCAGTAAACATGAAGAAGTTTTTCTTTATCTGTCAGCTTGAATGACCCTGTCTGACCTGTTTGGCGCATAACTTCTGTGAATAAGCTTTTAGCCAAACAGCATCACACCTACAGCAATGCACGCAACCTACTGTATTTAAGCATGTAGTGCCTCCTATTAAAAGTACAGAAATTCTCTCTGTATTCTGCATACTTAGCAATGTGCTACATAAAACAAAAGGGCATTTTTTTAGAGGGAGGCACAAGGGAGTAATTTAGCATTCTAAATGAGTCATTTACTCACTCAGAATGAATATCCAAAAATGATTAAATGTCAAAACATATCTCCATAATAGTCAACAGAATGCTTAACAGATAATTCCTGCTGTACCATGCCGATCACACACTTTCAGACTTTAAATATCAGAACAATATAATGATCAACCAAAAGCACAAGTTTGTGAGTAGAGGCTGAACATTAACCCTGTTCATTTACATTTCCTCATTAACCAATGCACCTCTGAGCTAAAGGCTTTATCTCGTTTCAGACAAGTCAAGTCATGCCAATGATATAGTCTCTGACTTTTAGTGTGAGATTTTCTTCCTGATACAACTGAGAGCACTTCAGAAAAACTCTCCAGACTAAGCAACAGAGTAACAGATCAGTTGGGAATGGTCTCTGTTTAATTTAGCTTCCAACGTCAATCACAAAAAAGAACTGCGAGAGCTAACCCCGAACAGGAGGGGACTCCTGTCGTCAATGCTCCTCCTGTTCCTTGACAGTAATTAATTCCAGAACTACTTTACTGATTTTTCAGGATTCCAGGAGAACCGACAGCTGTAACACAATATCTTATACACGAAGAAGTGGATGTAAGAACTGGCGCTTTTCATTTTGTTGCTAAATAGGCCTTCTGATCCTGGTCTGTTGGTGAAATTCAAAATAGTAACACTACGGGTTACGTTTCTGATCCTTTATGCGCCACCACCACCATATTTGTGCACGAAACTCTTAATGAACCACTTTCAGGGCACAGCATTTATCTCCAGGGTAAAATTCCTTTTTAAAAAGTCATTTTAAAACCCCAAATCAATTAGTAGGGGGAAAAAAAATCAATTTAAGTTACTTTCAGCAAATCAAGATCTTTGAAAATGCCCAGTTATTTTTTTCCAGGCGGCAAAGTCTTATCCGTCCTACTCTCAACATTTTATCAGAGGTTGCTCCGAAATGTTTTATACTAGAACTATTTCCTGTACATGATTACCATTACACGGTTCGACAATTTTTGCTTTGTCTGTGTTTTGAGGAAAGGAATGCCCAAATAAAACGCACAGAACAGGAAGCCAAGGGGTAGAAGAACCTTGACATCAAAGCACAGCAATAAGAATACGACAAAGAATTAGAAATTTAAGGCATGAAGCTCATGAAATTAATTCTCAGAACTATGTCAAACCACAACTGTGTGGTACATGCCTAAACTCAAATTCCACTAAGGAGGAAAGCAGGAATGCACTGACAGCCAGGATTGTCGCCAAACCCTAAATACTGTCACAAAACAACGATGAATTACTTATTAAATTTCCTTGTTCACGCCTTTGTTTTTTCAAGGACCACAGGACAGGTTGTTACACTCCTAGCAATAGCAGACTTGTTCATGAATGTTTTATATCACTTTTTTCCCCGATAACAAAACATTTTTCTTCACTTCCCGTACTAGTAATAAACTTTTAAAGGAAAATGGCCCAGATTCCACTTTTGAATGCAGATGAAATTAACATCTGAAGTCACAACTCGAAAGGATTACCGAAACAACAAATGAAATACATCCTGTAACTGTGGGTTAATGTGTGCTAATGTGGTAAGTTGACAGGCAACACAATCCGTGAAACCAAGTCATTAGGAGTGCAAAAGTTATTTTGTGCTCTACAGACAAAAGCGTCTTGCAGGTTTTAAATTGCCTTGCAGGTTTTGGGTCCTATAATTGACTACACTGGAACACATTCTCTGTGGAGTGTGTATGTTGTTACCAAGTATGCATGGGTTTTTGCTAGACGCAGAGTTTCTTCTCGCGTCTAAAGACATGCTGGCTAGGTTACTCTGTGTCTCTATATTGTCCCCGTGTTCGTGTGCCCTGTGAAGGACTAGTGTCCCATCTAGGATTTGTTCCGGCCTTAGTCCCTATAATTCCAGGATAACCTGCTTTTGTTCCTCATCCACCTATTATTGTAGCAAAGGTTGTGGCAGAATTAACTGCAAGCAAACAGACATGGTCAATTCCGCTATCCTAACACCAGCTTCAACACCCACAGTCATTTACTAAAACATCTCTTTCATTTGGGGGATTTAAATCCAAATTGATGCATTTCTCTTCACTGAACTCTCACATGCTCAAACTCAACCTTTCTGGCTTTTCAGTAAATGCAGGTGCAGGGACTTGACAGAGGAATTCGGATGGAAAGCAGAGGGTTTTTGGCCACTGATTAATTGAGCTATAAACAAAATGGAATGCAACAGGGAATTACACTATTATAATCAAGCTTTTTTGCAATGAATTTAAGAGTACTGCCTGGCTTTTCATTAGGGAAAAAAATAACAGTATTGCTTTTGTTTAAGACATGCTGAAATAAGCCACTGCATGCGGTGTACTTTTGGTGTTCTACTGTATGAAGTGTACGTATATGCTATTAATTGCCTAACCATTTTGTACTCTGCATATCACGATTCCAGCTTGGGCATGCATGCATTTGATGCAGGCTGATCCAAAATAAATGTGACATTTGATCTCTAGATCTAAGTCATAAATCATAGATCCGAATTCAAAACAAAAATGCATTCAGAGGGAATACCTCTAAAATGGGAATAAAAATTAGCAGATGTTTTCAGCACTTAACCCATTGCAATTGCTACACATCATGTTTTCGGTCTGACAACTGGAATTGCTACTGTACACGCTGCAAGAATATACAGGAATAAACAGAAGAGTTTCCTTTTATAGAATGTGCTCAGTTCTTCCTTTGGGAATCCAACCTGGATCCTCAAGAGTGCTTTATTTCGGAGAATCACGAAAGTTGCACCAAAGTCAAACCGCTGCTTGTGTGTGGGGGTCTTTGCTGGGTTTGTCTTTTCAGTCCCGCTTAATGAGTCACTTCCATGACACTTGTGATTAACATCCTGTCTAAATCTCCACCCCAACAATAGAATTTGAACTCTTGATTTCTCTCAGGCAGGGAACAATTGCAGTAGTTCCCAGCAAACATGGTCAGTAACAACAGTCGGCATGACTCCAAGGTGTTCAATTTGAAATGCGGGGGGGGGGGGCTGTTGGACTATTGTCTGAATCGATAGCAAGAACCAGACAGGATTCTTGGAAACTTGGTGGAAACGGACTTAGAAGTGAAAATCTGAGGTCCGTACTGAGATTGTTGAAAACAACCCAACAATCTCCAACTCACTTTGCAAGAACTGGAACACTAAAGTCTTCAAGTACACTGCATGAAGATCTTAATGAGCAATGAGTGATGGAAAGTCAGGTAGTTTGTACAAACCCATAGCTGAAATCTTTACCAATGGTAAATATTTAGAAGTTGTTACTGGATTTGATTATCATAGTACTTCAGGAAACAGAAACGTATCACTCTGGTTACCTACAGCCACTACCTACAGGCAAATTAGCGGGCATTCCAAGGGAAGATCTTCATATATGCCTTTTGGGGGCTATACTGGCTTTTTGAAGCCAAAAGAAAACGTACAGCAGACAAGATCTGGACCAAACCACAAAGGTCAAGTCTTAAAATAAGCCGAGGCGGGCCTGCTGAGTTGTGAAAGAATGGCAAGGCGTCCATCCCTTCCATACATACTGCAGATCAAGGGGGAGAGAAGCCCAATCTGGAAGATAAAGTCATTGGAGGGGAAAAAAACAAACATCTGCTACAGATGTTTTTAGGAACTTTACATTAGACGCTGGGGGACCGAGCTTTTTCAATGGCAGCCTTGCGCCTTTGGAATGCCATTCGAATACCTATGATATTAAAAA